ATCATTACTGAACACAAGCATTGGTCAGGATAGCAGTATTCTTTACATTAGCGCAACTTTTCGGATACGTATTGACAAAAGATGGATATATCCTTGTTATAGTGTAAAGACTAGATAAAGTGTGATTCCCTTGTCTAATTTCTTATGTTTGAGCTTCAGGCATCTGAAACTTCTACAAGATTAATAAATTCCTGTTGATTGAGGCGCAATACTCGAAATCAACAATAGACGAGGTTTTCTTGGAATGCGCTACTCGAATCGTGAGACAACTCGAAGACTTGTCTGTACAGTGAGGGCATGATGAAATGATAATGCAGCAAGGGGAAAAGTAGTACTTCATTTTATGAGAGAAGCGTAGAATTTTGTCTGCTCATATGATGGATTCGTCGTGCGAAGCGTGAGCTGAAGAAAACTCGGAATCCACGGACAGTTTTTTCAACCCGGTTGGGCCCGATCAGCAGTGTGAAACCATCGACTCTATGAGGAACCCAGGACTTCACAAGCAGAAAGTAAGCATGCTACCGACGCGACTGCACGGAAATTTCTAAGACCGTTTTTCATTATTAACATATACCATGTAGCTTGTGCTCCACTTCTGAAGTCCTGAATTCCATCCTCAGTTGGGTTGATGCATCCTACTACTGATGAGACCCAACGTCGTTCAAATAGCTGTTCAGAATTCTGTTGGTCAAATAAAACTTTCAATGACTCGCAACATGTGCGGCTCAAAGGCTACTGGTGTGTGCAGTTCACTTTGATTCAACGACATGAATGAATCGGATGATGTTCAGTAGCCGGCCATTATGCACTCAAATGTTTGAGATCACGTTATAGGTGATCTGAGGAACAGGGATAATGAGTGTATTGTCGATGTTGATGTACCGGTGGATGCCAAAGTTGGTAGAAGATGATCAACTAAATAGTAAATGTGCTCTGGATCGCGTGTTAGAGGGAACAGTTGGGCAGGCCCGTTGAGTCAACTGATGACCCAGGTAAGTAATACCAATGAGTGGAGGATGATAAGAAACAAGATGCAGGGAAAGACTGTTGTAGAAATGCAGGACTTGGTCAGTCTGGTTCGAAATGGAAATAGGTTTAACATATTGCATGAATCCAAACAGTCTGCTTAAATTGTTTTTTTTGATACATGCTTAGCAATTCCCTCAATCGAACCTAAAACTTCCACGTTTGTAAAAATAGAACAAATATAACCCTGATTATTGTCTTTAGATTCAAAGTATGCAAGTGATGTCATATTTAAGATTGATTTCCTCGTCAAAAGCAAGACGTGCTGTCATCGATTTCCTTTAAACTTGGAAATAACACTATTGAGAAAACGTTTTAAAGATAAAATCATTTTGTGATTAAAAGGGATTTCACTCTGCGACCTTTTGGACATTTGATGTAGAAATCATTTTGCTAGAATAAGTATGACGGAAATGAGAGGTATCCTTAATAAATAACGCTAGGTACTGAACACTATTCGAAAAAATAGACGAGCAAGTTATCTGAACCGAATTCAGTTAATGCATAGAGGATTATGAATTTAAATTTGACGGACATAAATTGGGCCAAAAGATCAAGACAATTATTTACATGGAGACAGTACTATGAGATTACAAGATTTCAAAGAGGACTTGATAATTTCGACTCGAACAAGGTGCATCAGAGTGTCGGCTTGTCTCCAGTTAGACAGTGCATCCGATATCGCTGATATAATTTCAACGCAAACCGGTGCACTGTGGAGTCAATCGATACCTCGTGTCTCATGCACCCTATCTCTGGTGATCAGTTAAAGTTTGTTAGTGAGTTCCCGTGTGGAAGCTTTGACATGCATTGAAATGATGTGGAGTGATTGTAGCTCGACATAGGGATGTTGATGTTGGTGAGTTCTCCGAGCTGGAAGTGCTGTTCACAGACGTTTTGTAGCCAAGCGAAGCAACATCATCAACGCGACTTCGAGGAAGCGCCACTCACCAGTAGGATAGGGTTTGAGGGTTGTGACTAACTGTTTGCGTACCTACAGTCCTGTTGGCCAATAGCAACCGTTTCCTCTGATTTGATTGGCTGTTCCGTTGTCATGGTAACCATCCTATTCACATCGGTCGACTGCCTTTGCTAGAGCAACCGAAAACCGGTTTTGAACCGGCGCCAGGCTGGTTGGAACTGGTTTAGGACCGGTTTTAGCTGGGGCACCTTCGGGTTACTAGTGTTTCCTTAGTGATGGATGGGTTCTAGTTCTATATGCTTATTTATACTATCCGTTCTGGGTTGCTATGCCTCGATGAATTCCCGTATTGACTTGGTGGGTCCTCTTCCAATAATTCTTACTTTGTCCAGTTCGAAGAAATGATTCTCAGCATCCATGTGGATTGAGATTTCTGATTTTCCCCCGTGTCGTTTGAACGCCAGTGTGTTTTCGTGGAGTCGTGTCTTGACCTTCCTGCTGGATTGGCCAACGTAGTATTTGTATCAGTCTCGGCACTTAAATTTGTATACGACGTTTGAGGAATCGTCCTTTGGTGTTTGATAATTGGCCTTGAAATGATAGCCCTCATTGTTGCCGTTGTTTTGTGTGCAACCGAAATTCCGTGTATATATGGCAGTGTTGTCCGACTAATCCTCAATCTTTCTTCTCACTATGGTTCATTCCTTGAAAATTGAATAACGTTGTCGGATTAGATTTCTTGTAGAATAGAATAACCGAAATGAATCTGAGCACGGACAAATATCGTGTTGCCTAAGGTATATCTTCTTTAATAATAGCAAAATATCACTGTGTTTCAGGTCGTCGAATAACCCTTTTGAGGTCGCCCTGAACGTGAAAGGAAAGAGTATCACGGATTTGTGAGACCCTGCGATACAAACTTATAAATTCCGAAGTGTGTATATAGCTGGAGACCAGGCCCGATGTAGTGGTTGAGGTACGCACTGATCAAGAATTGCGAATCACGTATCAGAAATCACGGATGCCACGTAAGCAGTGGGTTACACTGGCACTTGAACGACGGTATCCCACGTAACCGAGACGCAGGGAAAAGGCTACAGGAGTAGCAGTTCATTTATTGAAATAAATCACGGGGTTTAAGTAGTATTTACGAAACAAGTGCATAAGTCACACCAGTCTCTACCAATCGGGCACTATTATTCCTGGTGTCGAACAGCTTCTGGCTGGGCCGCACGGATTCTGATTGGTAGGTTCAATCGGCCTATGTTTCCTAGTCTAGAACCTGTAACGCGTAAACGCTTTGCTGGCGTCACCTGAGAAACATGAGTCATCACAGTTGTCCGGAAACTGTAACACATCGCCCCGTAGTTTGCGTCATCCCGTAAGCCAGGAGCACCACACCAGACTTAAAGGATGTGAATATTTGGACAGCAATCTTCACAGCGTATCAACTGAAAACAGTACCAAATTTCATTCGTGCGTGAAGAATAATTTGAGATTACTGTTTTCAGTATAGGAACCTGTTGGCACTAAAATCTCTGCGCGCGCACACACACACACACACACACACTCACACAAGAAGGTGAAGGTTTTATCGTGTCTCGTTGACTCGACTCGTCGCGTTCTTTTACCAGCGAAAACAGTTGCCTGTCCAAGTCGGGAATGCCTCCGTTTTATTTTCCTTATCATGGCATCAAACTCATCGACGCATTTATTGTTCACGGACAATGCAAAATTATACGCTGGTATGGAAAAGTTCTTCTTTCGAAATGGTTGGGCGTTACCGATGAATTAATTGAGTACATCACTCAACCTTTTGTACTCATGTTTTTTAAAAATAAAGCATGGAAGGAATAAGTTTCGCTCGGACTGTTCGCTTCAATACACTGAGGGAAGTAAACAGTGACGAAGAGCAATAGCATTAATCACCCAAATTAATCATAATTTGTATCGGATTGGGAAATTTGTGAGAACAAATCTCTGGACCAGTTAATGCGAAACAAACTCATTTTAGGGCATGCAACGAACGATATTATGTACGCGTATGCAATGGAGTACCATGAGCGGGATACCGAGTATCTGGTGGAAAATGCACTACAATTTGGAGGTGCGTTGAGTTTCAAATAACTACCGCGCAGTTAAAATGGATTGCACATCTTGCCCGTCTGCCTCCATATGCTGATACAAGCATCACAAACCTAGTGGAAACAAGCAAATATGAAGGTCAAATGTGGTGAGTCAGCTTTTCTAGAATTCCGTGAATGCAAGACCAACATTTAGCCTGCGCAATTCTATTGGAGCAAAGTTTGTTGCCTGGGTAAACGTAAACGTAAACATATACCAAAACTGGAATAATTGAATAACATAAAACAGCACCTAGATGGTCATACTGTTCACCAACACATCATCCCGGGGCTTGTGAGTTCAAATTCAGCTAACAACACCAAACGTTCTCAAGTTACGTTGCATCACATGACAAGGCTTCGATAGGCCTCTTTTCTCATCCCGAAAATATACATGCACTTTTATGTATTCAATGAAATCTAATGAGAGAAAAAATGGAAAACGGTTAGAGTCATTGGTTATTTGCGACGAGGAAAACTGCCCTCCAGTCCAGTTTTCCTGTCGCATCGGTGTTGAATGATGGTCTATGACCGTGATTGCAGACACTATCTCAGAAAGATTGTGTTGGGATCAGATAACCTTACAGTGAATCACCATTACAGAAGTACTCGAACAATCAACCCCAGTTTACAAACCTTTTCGATGGCTATGTGATTTGCATTTACCTTGGTCCAATTCCACTCTCACACCTTCGTCCTCATGCATTACCGACAGCTATCAGATAAATGCACGCACTGAGTTAGCTATCCGGTATAATGATATTTCACCGCTCGAAAATCATCATTGCGCGGTCGCATTCAGCATTCTTAACAACCCGGAGACGAACATTTTCGCCAACGTCAGTCAAGAAGTGTTTCGACGTATACGACAAGTGAGTACGAGCGTATTCGACTTAAAACTCTGGATACCTGTATAATCCATTCAAGTACGGATTTTGATCATTCATATTCTCATACCACCACCACCACCAACACCACCACCACCACTACCCCAACCACCACCATCACCACCACCACCCCAACCACCACCACCACCACCACTACCACCACTACCACCACCGCCACCACCACAGCCACCACCATCACCACCACAGCCACCACCATCACCACCACAGCCACCACCATCACCAGTGGTCAGTGTCACGCCTCCAAAACAAGCGTAGCAAAATGCCGCTTGTCATGCTTTTGGGCAGCAAAACCCGAGGCAGGCAGTAAATTATTCGGTTTGCTTATGTTCTTTAGTCAAACAGGATTTTAAATAATGCAATAGGCGACGTGTGGTGTTTTATCATATGCATGTACCGTTTCAATAGAGCAAAAAAAAGCTAGATTGTGCTCATCATTTTTTTGTATGTTTGCGCATCATCAGGACACCACCATGATTCGTTTTGACAACCCTATGTTTACTTTACTTAAACCCGTGCATTCCCATGCACATATTCATCGTTTTCTAGTGCTCCGCACTCACCTATCGTGATGAGGGAAATACAATCAAACATTGACTGAACGTAACAAAACAAGCGAACAGATTCTTTTCGCAGACAATTGCACTTTACGATTCCAACTGGCTTCGTGATTACCGATTATTCCGAAATTTACTTTAGTGAGTCTGGACAATCGGTCTGAGATTCGTCAGGTTCTTCTTCGCTTGTAACACACCAAAATGTTTGGAGATTAGAACAGTTCTGAAATGAGGAGATTTACACGTCATCAAAAATCGTTGGGACTGCGACCTAGGTTTACATATCATCCCAATTCAAATTTTGATCATGGGTAAATTGCAAAGCTGATGCTCATTGAATCCCATAGGATGCTGAAACGTTAGATGTTTCAATGCTTCATCCAGTCGTGACTTGAATGAATCGATGGTTGGTTCACAAACAACTTGAGGTGGAAGAGAGTTCCAGGTGTTACAAACTCTAAGGCCGAAAGAGTGATGCCTGCAGTCTAGCCGACCCTTTTGCAGGAAACGTTTAAACGGATCTCTCAGAGGTGAGCATTCCTCGATAATGTTAGTAGAGTCCTACACGGGTGGTTGCTGTAGTTTTTGATATTCGAGAAGCATGTCACTCCGTATTCGACGGTATTCAGACAAAAAGAGTCCAAGAATTCGCAGCCTTTCACCGTAGGTCTTAGATCATAACCCTATTACTATTTGGCTGCTGTTCTCTGCGCACGTTCGAGTGCCTTTTGGTGGAAAATTAGCCGTGGATTCCAAGTCGGTATAGGATACTCGATGTGCGGTCTAATGTATGCTGATAGTAAACGGTGCAATAGGTCTGTTTCGAATGATCCAAAAACACGTATTAACAATCCAACGTGTTTTATAACCTTTGAAGACACTCTTACGGAATTTGTGGAACATCCTAGATCCTGACGAACGATAACATCTCAGTCGTTTTCGTCTAAAGAACGCGCCAATGGCTGAGTTCCATATAAGTATGAAAAGAGACCCCTGTGGAGTAGCAATACAACCTTGCATTTCTCAATGTTGAATTCAATGTCATTAGTGATAAACCATCGCGATCCTGCGTCGGGAGTTTTCTGCAAGGTTTTATAATCTTCAGCATAATGTACCGCCCATACTAAGTGCTCTCAGAATTTAGTTTTACAGTTGGGAGAGGAAAATAAAATAAAGCTGAATGCATCCAACGTTCACCTGGAGTTTCAAAGTGGTCATTTTGAGGACCAATCAAATCCCGCGGAGGTTTTCAATTGTCACCAAAGGCCGCAGTTCTTTGTTGCTGATCGATACGGTGTATTAGAGTGCCAAGTGACAATATGATAGATCATAGTAACAGTCGTTTTGAGATACGGATGTCCATTCCTACTGGTTCAGTTTGATTTGCTTCCTGTTGATCATTTTGGGGGCGCAAATAGGAGGGCACTTAGTTTTGAGAGCAGTGTGAAGTTGTTGTAGCCCAGATTCCAAATCTCTTGTTAGAACTACAAATGCCGATTCAAAATTGAGCATCTAAAGAGATCAAACATTTGTATTGAGCAACAATCCATACCTCGAACATCTGAACGGTGCGCCTAGTTTGGGTTGTATGAACACCATTCAAACGATGTAGAACGGTAAAGTGCACCTAAAATAGGAAGCCTAAGTGTAGGTGTTGCGATTTCTGATGAGTGTGAGCATCAATGATATATTTCAGAAATTATTTTGGAAAATTCACGAGTTTGTGGTTCAACATTTCGCCGACAATGTTTATCAATCTTCGTGCTTTATTCTCCTTGTTCCAACTGCGATCAGGGAATGACAAGTTTGATCCTGGCAACTGATATGGCAAGACACGGAGAAATTCTGGAAAGCATGAAACGTAATTTAGAAGACGGATTCAACATTGAGAAGAAGGAGCATCGGGAAACGGTAAGCTGTGACATTCTATTTCACCTCCTCCACATGATAACAAGCATTAGAGAGGCCCATCACTCTCCCCGATCCTCCTCTTCCGACACAGACACATATACCTTGATTCTTATACCCAGTGTTGCAGTTTATCTCCTCCTATACACTCTAATATTTATCAACGGACTGGACATCGCGATCGTTTTCAACAGTAAAGAAATAAGCTGAATTGTACGCTCCGAGAAGCTACCAATTTCACATTTTGTACGAATCAAACGACTGAGGATTCCAACAGTCAAATTTGAGAAAAGACAAATCAGTAGACAAGTGCCTTTTCATCTTTTGGCCAATACAGTTTTGGAAAGACTAAAGGCATATCCAATTGGCATAACTTTTGACGTGTAATCGAATTGGATTGGTGCATAAGGGTTATGTATTGTGAGTGTATAACAAAGAAAACTGGATGGATGAGAATAGGGCTGGGCATACGAAGGGTCAGAATATAGCCCAGGTTAACCATTGCCAATTCAGATCATGGGGTCATAGGGTCAGTACGATACGGAGCGTTCACTTTTCTGAAGTCGTGAACAGCATTGACCAACTTACGGAGCATTCATCTTCAGCTGTGCAAGCACTCGACAGCAACAATAATAATAACAATAACAACAAATATATCTGTTTCAGTTCACACTCTCACCCGGGAATGTCTTTGACTATTATGAACGAGACCAATGGGACCGCCTTTCGGAATGTGATAATCATATACCCTATTTCCTGATACCGCGTCAGTTGGGTTTTGGGGATGTTCGCATCAACTGATAGTCTCCCTTGACTGCTTTGCTATCACGAGACAGAGAGAGAATTGTAAGTAGGAGGCGATGCGGCAGACATTTTGCTACGTATGCTCATTGTTTATGTGAACCATGGTTGCCGACTCATGGCTTCATGCAATTTGCGATCACGAACATTCGGGAGAAGTAAGTTTGAATGTCTTAGTTTATTTTAAAGTACGCACAGTTTAACTTAACAATTAGTTTATTTCAACACTTTTTCCATTCGCTTCATACTTCGAACTCCAATACCCTGTATATTATCTCATGCCTACCGTCCTTTAGGGTACGACGAAGACGTGATTTCACACGAAAATGCCGATATCAATAACCATTCATTTGTAAAACAACCTCATGAGACATATTATTCTGTCACCGAGTCTGATAACCATGGCAATGACGATGATGATGATGATGATGATGATGATGATGATGATGATGATGATGGTGATGATGATGATGATGATGATGATGACGGTGATGATGATGATGTTGATGGGGACGATGATGATGAGGATGATAATGATGAGGACCTTACAACTCATTTTACACGCTACAATACTAAAGACTGTTGAGAAATTCTATACCAATGTTTTGAGCTTGCAATACTCTAATCGGTCTTCGTCGTTCATCGCATTGCCCAATCTCAGCTGAAAATGGTTCTGATCAAGTGTTGTGACATCTCAAACGAAGTCCGTCCACTCTCTGTCAGTGAACCTTGGGTGGATTGTCTGTTGGAAGAATATTTCAACCAGGTGAGCAACTCTCGTCCAGTTTGTCCTGATTGCGTGTGGCTTGATCAGAAGCACAAAGCTACCAAGTTGTATCTAGGAACGCAGTGATTTGCAAAACGCGGCGGTAAATAAACGGGGATTAACTAGGGCTTTGATTAGTTCCTACGAATTCCCGGATAAAAGGATTCGCATAAAACTGATCTTTGAACCCCACTCATAATGTATCGATACTTCCTCGAAAGTTTTGTGCGTCCTAATTGTGAAGTTTGTGTGAAGGTCGACAAGGAACGGCAGACAGCTACAATTGTCGTTACAGGGACTCAGGGACTTCCAGTAGTACCTACTGGAAGGATGTGGAGCCCAAAATGCCACTAAAACCCATGCATAGGCAAAGAGGCATGAAACTAGCAAGATCATATTGAATTCGTGCAAGCAAGCATTTGGTCGTCGGTCGCCTAGCTTGTAGGCAATTGGTCTTGATTCCGAAACCGAAGTCCGGTCAAGAGGCCGAACAATGTGTCATACCACGGTGACATTATTCAGGAAGCGTGCTCTATGTTGGTCTCCACACAAACCTCGCGTGAGAAATAAGACGAATTATCGAACGGATGCCTGACTCTGGGACTTTTCTTTCAAACGTGACAAGCTTTCTTTGCGACGAGTAGTCTCTGATAATTGCTGAAACGAAGAGAAAGAATAATGATAACGGAGGGGTGTTCTCCCGCTGTTTTGTTCAATTTCCGGGTACCCAAACTGGCTTGAACAATTTGGACTCTTCTCCAGGTTCATCTTAGTGATTCAGTTATTCGAAACTCAAATCGCACAGAAATTGCTACTTTGATGCAATTGCTTGACCTCCGCATTATTGTTTGAAGTGTTTGGGTTTCACATTGTTCCATGTTTACAACTATCAATTTTTTGAATAATTTATTGATACCTTCAGTTTTAGCACTCGGGGAAATATGCTAGAATGGTTCCATTACTACAAAGAGATCCCTTCACCTGTCATAACTTTGCTTACAAATATTTTATCGTAGTCTTATTTCCTGGGACCTCAGTTGCACTAATTGTCCAGTAAATAGTTGTCACATGTTCAGTCCTCCAGACTTGGAGGAGTTTGAAAATCACTAGTTCACGTTTCGAAATCTGAATGCTAGGTGATTGAGCCTGTTTGCGACTGATTCACATCTTTTTGTCCGACCTTGTTTCACTTGAATCCAAAGTGGGACGGGAATTTTCGAACATATAAAAATTTAGTGATGAGTTCAGCTGGAGGTTGTGCATTGTACCGGACGGAGGCGTCCTATGATAGAGAGAAGCACAGAAAACCGACCCCCAAGTTCAGAAAAAAGAATACAAGCTCGGTGATCTACGTACCTGTATTGAGGCTCAGATAATCAAGTAATATATGCAACATACTTCTAGTTATGAGCAATCCAGCTCAGAACTCAGGTAACACAGGACAGATTGGAACGGGATATCGAGTCAAGCCACTCACCTGGCACCGTCAGAGAAAAACGAACGTCAGTGGTAACAGCTTATTTACGCCGACCGATCACCATCAACCAGTTTCGTGTGCACGGTTATTTATTGGCAATGCACGAACAGACGCGTCGTAAAAGGGAAACATAGAATACATGATATGTAATAGAGCGAACTGAAACGGCCCTAAACGAGAGTTCAAGGGAAGCGGATAGGTCGCTGTAAACAATGTGACATCAAGACTGATGCAAAATGCACAAACATCAATTACATCGGATGGAGGGCACAGGTCAAAAATACAGACGTGAGACAGATGTGCTGGTACTAACATGTCACCAAAAACGTACCATGCTATCTATCGATCAAAAAATTCCTCAAAGGGGTAGGGAAGTAAGTAATAGAACAGGAGAAATGTTTGGACGCTGAGGGTTTTGGGGGCATAGGTTATATCATATGATGCTGTATACGAACAAAGTCACAAGTACTGACGGCAACCGTGAGTGAACATCTTTCAACGTAGCCATTGAAGTGCATCAAATGTGTCGAGGTCAGATTTTGTGCTAAGGAGTGATAATGCAATTATTAAAGGAGCGATGATCAAAGGGTGATCTAAGTAGACAATTTCATTCACTACAACGCGGGGTGCGACTCAAGCGGAGGGAGGACAATGGTGCTCAACTGAGCGATTTTTGAATTGACTTGTGTGGTGAATTTCGCCGAAACGGGTTGATCTTTGCAGTAGTCATATCTCATCCATATCGTACGGACTAAAAATACCTACCCGAATGGAACGCTCAGTATAATGCACGCGGTTTCCTATATGCGATCAAAAGCTCTTTCGCGATCGTGTTCACACAGCTCGATATTCCTATGATTGAACCAAAGTTAAGAGAAAAACTCTAATGATGTCTAGTTAGATTCGCGTTTTGTGATTTCACGATTTTGATTAACTAAATAGGTGATCATAGGTGTTACAACTACTCATGAGTAGCATAAGTAATAAAGAACAAACTTCAGCTAATGGGATATCTGAAACCATTTTCACTTTTTGTTTTCCCGTACGTGCATTCAAGTCCGATAGAGAAAAGCAGGAAGGTCTACCGGTTGCCCCGTTCATGGATCGGGATAAGGTAACCAAGTCATCCGCACAGATTGGTTTCATCAAATTCGTTCTGATACCCATGTTCCAAACTGTTGCGAAGGTGAGCGATTTTCATTGAGTAAACTCCCTATGTGGGTGCATTGACACTTGCTGTTCTGCTATTGTCCTATGCATAAAGAAACTTGGTTTAGGTTATGCAATTATTTAGTTCTGCTGAAACAATATTTTTCATATTTTTTCTATACCTTAGATCATGCGTGAACCGTCACAGGATCCTTCACGTGTATTTAGTTGTTATTGATTTCGAACTGATCACCGCTGATCAAAACAATCTCTGTGGTTGTTTTGTGCTAGTCAGCACATTTACTCAGAGAAACTAAAAGTATTCCGATTATTTTGTGGAACGTTTTCGATCACACTGCCAAATGTATTCCACGGTAGAGTTCACGTTTGCCCATATTCGAATATAAAAGAACAACAGCTTTTTAGGGGAATAAGCTTCGAGTACATCGCATTCGATTATTCCTTTACTCAAAATTGATTGAGCCATTGGCACAAGGTGATGACCGTGGACCGTGTAGCCCAGGGATTATGTTGTGAGGTCCTGACACGAATGACTACAGTTGAAGTCCTGACGGGAAAGTATAAAGTACCCACTGATGGCGAGTTCCAAACACGACGAAATAGTTATTCAGTGCATTTTGTCAGTCATGACAAAAGTTTCCATCGCGTTAAATGCATTTACCTCGTTGGAATTATTGATCTCCCAAAACATTATTCTATCAGTGTTAGGTAAAAAGACTATTTTTAC